CCTTCTTTCCCACATTTACGTGCTGGGCCAGGGATGGAGTTCGGTGTCTCACAAAGCAAGCCCTGGGCTCTACTGCAGATCTGTTTCCCCAGTCCAGAGGTTTCTTTCAGTAGCATCGGGGGTCAAACGCAGGTCTCATGCACACAAAGGCAGGCATTTTACTGCTAAACAACCTGGCAGCTTCCACACACTCGTGTCTTTATTTATGTGCTTTTGCATTCGTTAACTTTGGGGCAATGCCTGGCAGTAGTAATCAGAGGTCGTTTCTGGAACTGCTTGTGGGGTCAACCGGTGTCAGGTCTCTGGGTCTCGGGCATGCAAAAGTACATGCTCAGATTGTCCAGCTATAGCCTCACTCTTCACACTGATTAAGAAAGAAATCCCAAAGCTGGAGCGACAGCACAGCGGGTAGGGTGTTTGTTTGCCTTGCACGCAGCTGACCCAGTTCGATTCTCAGCATCCCATATGGTCCCCCCAGGAGTAATTCCGGAGTGCAAAGCCAGGAGTAACCCCTGTGCATCGCTAGGTGTGACCCCAAAAGCAAAATAAATAAGTAAATAAATAAAGGAATCCCCTGCTCATTGGCCCCAGCAAACAGAGGTTGGCGGGGGGCGGGGGGGTTGCGGAGGAAAGAGGTCTCACACTTCTCTGGGGCTACCAGCACTGGTTTCTGTGTTGTCTGCATGGAGCCACCTCTGCCATTCATGTCTTCTGGGTATGACCCAGCCCTGCCATGGCAGCGACCACGTGACCCAGCCTCCATTCTCTTATCGCCCACGCTCAGCGAAAATGCATTAGAAGTGACCGGCCAGCACACACATCCAGGAAACGCACTTGGGGAAACAATCAGGAGGTCGCAAAGCTGGCTTTCCCAGGCATACTTTACTTCCTCTCAACTCTCCTTTTGGCCTCTAAATGTTTAGAAACTCAATTACTTAAGGGTATCTACTCTCAGCATGCTTCTCCCATCCTGGGAGGATCCTCCCAACACCCTTTATTTGGTGCTCCCTTCTCTATCTGAGCTCCCTTTTCTCCTAGCATGTGTGGCTGGCCTCCAAGCCATGGAGTGAAATTCCTGGTACTAATCTCGGCCATTCTTGGGTGTTAGTCTCCTATTTTGTTACTTTATGTTCCCCAGATGAATGCAATCTTTCTATGTCTATCCCTTTCTTTCTGAGTTATTTTGCTTAACATGATACTTTCCATGTAGTACCACTTGTATGTAAATTTCATGACTTCATCTTTTCTAACAACTACACAGTACTCCATTGTGTAAATGTACCAAAGTTTCTTTAACCAGTCATCTGTTCGAGACCAAACATGATTGTCACCCATTGCCTCTTTTACAAACCACAACACCCAATAGTAGAGAGAGAACAAAAGGGAATGCCCTGCCACAGAGGCAGGGTGGGAGGAGGGGATGGGGGGTGGGAGGGATACTGGGATCAGTGGTGGTGGGAAATGGGCACTGGTGGAGGGATGGGTATTTGATCATTGTATAATTGAAACGCAAGCACAAAAATTTGTAAGTCTACAACTGTACCTCATGGTGTCTCACTAATAAAAATTGAAAAAAAGAAAAAGAGTATCTAGATCAGTGGTTCTCCACAGAGATGACAAGAAGTGATTTTTGTCACTCCCCCACCCCCTCTCCTCAAGGGACATCTGGCAGGAATCTGGAGAAAACTACAGAGGTCACAATTTCAGTTGTCGCTGTCATGGGCAGAGGCCAAAGGTGTTTCTGGACATCCATGGCGCACGGGGCACTCCCCCCACAAGAACTTTGGTAGCCCCAAGTGCCAGTGCCAAGCGTGTCCCAGCTGAGAAACTCGAAGTCAAGTGAAAAAACTCCAGAGGGGAGAGGTTTGGTGGACAGAAACAACTCAGTGCATGATGGTGCCGGCCGGAGGGGTGGCTGCCAAACACTGCCCCCAATGGGAACGTGGGTCTTTCTGAAAACGCTCGTGGTCTCTGTGGCACATGGACAGCAAATGTGCTAGCTAGTAGTGAAAAGGCCTGCTTAAAATGTGTCTCTTATGAAGTCATGGAATTTGCTAGTAAGTGGATGGACGTGGAGAGTATCATGCTAAGTGAAGTAAGTCAGAAAGAGAGGGACAGACATAGAGGGACTGCATTCCTTTGTGGAATATAAAAATATCATCATATGAGACTGATTCCCAAGGACAGTAGAGACAAGGGCCAGGGATACCGTCCCATAGTTGGAAGCTTATCACATGAGCTGGAGGAGAGGCAACTGGAAGAGAGAAGGGATCGCTAAGACAATGATGGTTGGAGGGATTGCTGGGGATGGGAGATGTGTGCTGTCAGTAGATAAAGGACCAAACGTGATAGCTTCTCAGTGTCTGTATTGTAAACCATAATGCCCAAAAGTAGAGAAAGAGTATGGGGGAAATTATCTGCCATGGAGGCGGGGGAGGGTTGGAAGAGGCGGTGGGGGGTGTATACTGAGGACATTGATGGTGGGGAATGTGCACTGGTGGAGGGATGGGTGTTTGATCATTGTACGGCTGAAACTCAACGCATGAAAGCTTGTAACTATATCTCATGGTGATTCAATTTAAAAAAAAAATGTGTCGCTCTTCTAATACATAAACCCATGCTATTGAAGACGGAAAGGCTGTGTGATGAGGGCCTTGGTGGAATCCAGCTTGCCTGACCAGGGTCATTAACAAGAGGGCCACCAAGCAGCTTTTATATTCTGCCTCTAATCATCCAATCAGCTGTTTTCTTCTTCTTCCTCCTCCTCCTCTTTTTAAACAAGCACTTCCTTAAACAAGCAGGAGTGCAGATTTAATTTTAGTAACCCTTGTAATACTGGAACCACGCTACTGATGCTTATTAACATTTTTTTTCAGTAGAAAATATATTAAAAGGTCTCCCAAACAGGGCCATTACCCTGGGAGAAGGCCTTTATTGATGTATTACTGTATCACTGTCATCCCATTATTCATCTATTTGCTTGAGTGGGCACCAGTAACATCTACATTCGTCCTAGTCCTGATATTTTAGCAGCCTCTCCTTACTCATCCTTCCCAATGGTGCCAATGGAGGCTCTTTCGGGTCAGGGGAATGAAACACATTATCGTTACTGTTTCTGGAATATTGAATACGCCATGGGAGTTTGCCAGGCTATACCATGCAGGAATATTGACATATATGTCCATAAAAGACTCTCAGCCTATGACAATTGAATAGGAAATATGTGCAAAAGAATTGAGTCTTCTAAGTAAAGAACACACACACATATATATGCATATATAATATATAATACACTGTCCTCCCATTGTTCATCGATTTTGCTTGAATGGGCCCAGTAACGTCTCCATTTTGAGACTTCTTGTTACTGTGTTTGGCATATCAAATACTCTCCGTAGCTTGCCGGGCTCTCCGAGAGGGGCGGAGGAATCGAACCCGGCTCGGCCGGGCTGGCTACGTGCAAGGCAAATACCCTACCACTGTGCTATCGCTCCAGTCATATAATATATAATATAGGACAAAATATACACATATACTTTGTAACTACGTAACTAAAATAGTTACTGAATCACCTTGAGAAACACAGTTACAAAGTTGTTCATTATTGGGCTTCAGTCATACAATATTCCTACACCTACCAGATTATCTTCCTTCACCAACAGTTGCTGTCCTAACTGTACCATGTCTCCCAATATTGAGATAAACCTCACTGTGAAAGGATGAGAGGAATTTGGGGGCCTTCTCTCTGCCATGTGGGGGATGCTGAACACAGGCCTGGAGGAAAGTACCAGATAGATTACAGAGCCCATGATTCATGTCAAAGTACAAATATCCAGATTTAAAAAAAGTGAAACAGGGCCAGAGAGATGGCACAGCAGGGAAGGTGCTTGCTTCGTACGTGGTGGCTGACCTGGGTTTGATCCCCAGCATCTGATATGGCCCCCTGAGCACCGCCAGGAGGGATCCCTGAGTGCAGAGTGGGAGTAATCCCTGAGCACTGCCAGGTGTGGCTCAAAAATAAGCAAACCCCTCCCCCAAACCCAAACTACCAAAACTAAAAAAAAAAAAAAGTGAGCCTGGTGGTTCACACATCCCTGGACTCAGCAGCAAGCATTCAGGGATGAGTGGAGACCTCAGAGAGGGGGGAACGGAGGGACAACTGGCCTTTCTCTTGGCTAAAGAGCCTTTGTGTGGCCTCGGTAAAGGACCCAGCTGGACCGCACTCCCGTGGCTAGACTGTGCATCCCTGCACCTCATCTCTCCTGGCCCCAGCTCCGTGGGGGAGGGGCCTTTGCCTTTTTTTTTTTTTTTTTTTTTTTTTTTTTTTTGCTTTTTGGGTCATACCCCGCAATGCTCAGGGGTTCCTTCTGGCTCTGCACTCAGGAATTACTCCTGGCAATGCTTGAGGGACCATATGGGATGCCAGGGACTGAATTGGGTCGGCCACGTGCAAGGCAAACACCCTCCCTACTGTGCTATCCCATTGGTCCCCAAGAGGCCTTTGCCTTTTCCACGGGACTTGGAAGACAGAGTTTCTCCAGAGCCGTCCGGAGGACACATCGTGGGAAGTTCTCCCTCTGCCTTGTGCAGGCACCAACTTGTCACCTTCCCCGTACCCTCATGTTTGAGGAGTAACACAAGGTTGTTCCAACCATGGTATCCTTAGCAGGCTGCAAGAAAATCAGGATGGGCACCAAAGCCTGACGGAGGGGCTGGGGTGACAGCACAACGGGGAGGGTGCTTGCCTTGCATGCGGCCGGCTCATGTTTGATCCCCGGCCTCATTACAGGGTCCCCTGAGCACCACCAGGGGTGATCCCTGAGTGCAGAGCCCAGGAGTAAGCCCTGAGCACTACTGAGTGAGCCAACCTTCACCACCACCCCCTCAAAATCAGCCCAATGGAGAGATGCCTTCAGTTGATGCCAAGTCATGCCCACGGCCCCCGGCCCTTGCTGCCCCGCCAAGTCACAGCTGCCTGGGTCCAGGCTCTCCGCAGGACTCACCTTGAGGATGGGCATGGCCGCACGACAGCGGGCAGTCTTACTGTTCTTGAGGAAGTGTGACTCATCCTGAAAAGGAACAGTCATGGAGGTTAGGACCGAGCCGCGACAGGACTGAGAGACCCATGCTGGGCTGAGGTCAGGGGGTCTCACCCTTTTCTGGATCGGTGAGTTCATTTCTCTGTGGGTGTGGGGGGCTCCCCTTTCTTCCCCTCCCTGGCCTGCCTCACAAGATCCACTTCTGAAGGCCCTGAGCTGTGTTCTAATAACAAGAGTGCATGCACACACGTGTGCTCACGTGTGTGCTGCTGTGGCGTGACTCCTGGAGCACGGTTTTAGGGAGGAGGGGGCTGATTATCTTCCTCCCAGACTCTCAGCACACGGAACAGTCAGACAAAGCCCCGGAGGAGAGCAGCTACAAGCACTAGCCCAGTGCTAGGAAACCAAGACGTGGGGTGGAGGCTGCAGTGACCTCTGCGGGCCTTCCCAGGCCTCCCAGAAACTCTTTCCTTCCTTCCTCTCTAGATGAGAAGCATATCCCCATTTTGAGCCAAATATTTTTTTTTTTTTTGCAGGGGGAGAGGGGGGCACTGTCCAGAGAGGATTCTATTTTTTTTCTTTTTGGGGGTCACACCTGGTGATGCACCAGGGCTACTCCTGGCTCAGGCACTCAGGAATTACTCCTGGCAGTGCTCAGGGGACTATATGAGTTGCTGGGAATCGAACCTGGGTCAGCCGTGTGCAAGGCAAACGCCCTACCCGCTGTGCTATCGCTCCAGCCCCCGAGGATCCTATTATTTAAGAGGATAAAAGTACGGCTGGATTTTTAAGTTCACAAGCTTGAATCAAGAATAAGGAACTACATGTATCTGGAAGAACTGGGTCTGTTTGGCTCCAAAAAAACCCAGTGATAAACTTCCATTGGAAATTCTCTGAATGTCAGTGGCTACCCGGGCTGGGGTTGAGGCAGGGGCAGACAGGCAGGGATGGCACCCTGTTTCCCAGGGCTGTTTGAATAAACCGAACTCTGGTGGGCGGATAGAACCGAGGTGGCTGGACTTCCTTGGGAAGCTCCGGGACTTGGGACAAGGAAATGCAGGAACGGAAGTGGCCGCCACCTCTGGGAGCAGGCCCCGCTACTAAAGTCCTCTTTATTTTAATTCTTTTTATTTTGGGAGGGGGGCGATTCCCAAGTGGTACTCAGGGGAAGGCCCAGGAGGTCCCACCAGCAATTCTCAGCCAACCAGGATGGTGGTTCAATGCAGGGGCCTGAGGATGCTACTCAGGTCCTGGAGTTCAAGGACACCCTGGGCCACCCCGGCAAAGTGCTTGGGGTTCTCCAGAGCTGTACACCCTGTGATGCTCGGGGGAACAGAGGCAGGGTCAGGGAATCAAACTGGGGTCCGTCGCATGCAGCGCAAGGGCTTTAATCCCTGTCCTCTCGGAACCCATTGGAGTCCCCACCTCAATGCAGGAGGGGCTTGGGCCATACAAGGCAGTGCTGGGGACTAAGCCCAGCTTTGCTGTGGGTGAGGAAAGTGTCTTACCCACTGTACTATCTCCCTGGCCTGAAAGGCTTCCTCAAAGGAACAGTTAGCATTGGGGTGACAGCTCAACAATCCGGAGGACGAGCTATGCTGATGGGAGGCCTGGGCTCCAGCCCCACCACTGTCGGGAGCGAGCACCAAGCCAGGAGTAGCCCCAAGCTGCAGGGTGGGGCAACAAATTGCCCAAATAAACCAAAAAAAAAAAAAAAAAACGCAAAATGCTAAGTGGGAGAGCACCTGCACTGAGGCCCAAGTGGCTCAATCTTGGACATTGCCCACATGGCTGAGTGTGGCCATAGGCAGTGCCATCCTAATGAGGGGGGGGGGGGGGGCCAGAGGGCTGCGTCCAGCACACCACAACCAAGCACGCGACTCCCTGAGACTATTACCACCACCACCACCACCACCACCACCACCACCACCACCACTGCAGGGCAGCGATGCCAGGAAGGGAGAAAAGGCATTTAAGACTGAGGCAAAACAAAACTCCCAATCACGTGCTATTTGTAGGAGGCAACACAAAATGAAAATTAAAATGCTATCAACACACACACACACAAACACACACAGCCCTAGGACAGTTAAAAAAAAAAAAGAAAAAAGCATTTTGTGCAGGGCAGGGCCATCTTCCATCTTTGTGTTGGCTGGAAGATGAAATCACACCCAGATGTCCAGCTGGGCTGCAGAGGATGAAGCAGGAGCCTGCTCCTGAACCCTCCCCCGCAGCCCTATGCCAGGGAACTGTAGCACTGTAGTACTGTAGCACTGTCGTCCTGTTGTTCATCGATTTGCTTGAGCGGGCACCAGTAACATCTCCATTGTAAGACTTGTTGTTACTGTTTTTGGCATATCAAATATGCCAGGGGGAGCTTCCAAGGCTCTGCCATGCAGGTGAGATACTCTCGGTAGCTTGCCGGGCTCTCCAAGAGGGCGGAGGAACCGAACCCAGGTTGGTTGTGTGCAAGGCAAACACCCTACCCGCTGTATAAACTGCTGGCTGGGAACTAGTAAATCTCAGGGGGGTTTTCCACTTCCCCACAAAAGCCCCCCAGAAAGATTCTAAGGTGTAGCCAGGGCTGAGAACTGCCCATGCAGAGGAATCAACAGCCAGTTCCCTGACCAAATGCAGGGGGATGTCTGTTCTCCCAGAAACCCAAGTGAGGCTGCTGGGGATGGGATGGGAAAGTTCCCGAGAGTTTCTGGAGGAGGGAGGGCCCAGTGTGAGGGCCCTTGGCCGGAGTCACTTACAATGATGACGACTTTAAAAGACGATGCAGTTTTCAGCTGCTTCTCCACCTTGCTCAGAAGGTCAAAACTGACGATGCTGACCAGGCCAGCAGCCAACCGGTCCTTCCCGCTCACCACGACGTTGATGCTGTCCTCACTCAGGGATGGTAGCCACCGGAGGAAGGCCTGGGGGTGAGGGGAGAGAGCCGGCCGCACAGTCACCAACCGGTCTGGGAACCCCGGCCGGCCCGAAAAACCCCCATCTGGATCCCTCAAGGTCCCCCTCCGCCTGCTCTCACTTGCCACCAGCTTCCTTCCTCTGTTAAGCACAGGTGCCAGTGGGGCCCCTGTGCCGGCTTGCAGACTTGGCCCCGGGGCTCTAACCAGACAGCATTTCAGCGGGGACAGGCGGCGGCTCCGAGAGGGGCTTCAAGCAGAACCTGGCCCACCGGCTGCAGCCAGAGCAACCACGGAAGTACCTTTTTTCATTTTCTACAAAACCACAGATTCTCTTTCGGGGCTGCAGCCGGCCATCTGGAACTGACGGAGGGACCCAGGGCTGGTGCGTGGGCCCCTGGGCGGTCCTCTCCAGATATCGGTGGCGGGGGTGGGGGGAGTGGGCAGGCGGGGGGTTGTCTCAGCCTTGAGCCTGGACTCCACCCTAGCATTCATGGGGCTCGCTCAGATTGGGACTGGGCCTCCTCCCCCCAACCCCCCAGTTTTCCAGTAGCTTGGCAGTCACACCCACAAGCTACTCCCCTCCCCCCCTGCACCATGTAATCTCATCAATGGCCAAGTCTGAGAGACAATGAACTAAAGCTCCCAGAAGAGAGCACTGCAGAATTTCCCGGGAGCACGCAGCCGCGATCTCTTATGCTCTACCTCACTTACTTATCAAAAGTATCACACATTTGTTTGGTTTCTCACACACTGGCTTGTATTCTCTCTTACTCGGGCTTAAATAACTCCAGAATGAAACACAACAACCCTCACACACTTCCCTCTTATTGTGGTGGGAAGTTGCTCGGTGGTGGGATTGGTGTTTGAATATTATCTGTAATGAACTATTGTGAGCTACTTTTTTTTTTTTTTTTTTTTTGCTTTTTGGGTCACACCCGGCAATGCACAGGGGTTATTCCTGGCTCATGCACTCAGGAATTACTCCTGGCGGTGCTCGGGGGACCCTATGGGATGCTGGGAATCGAGCCCGGGTCAGCCACATGCAAGGCAAACGCCCTACCTGCTGTGCTATCACTCTAGCCCCTGTGAACTACTTTTATGAAAATATATATATAGAATTCGTGGGGCCCTACAGCACAGAGTGGGTGCTGTGCTTTTCCAGGCCCCGGTAACCTTTAGAGCGCAAAGGACAGGACAAGGATGAGGTGCTGCTCTGACACGGCCCCTACAGCTCGGCCTCTCTGCAGCTGGAAGGGGCACGTTGTGGGCATAGGCAGAGCTGCCTCTTTGGAAGGCAGCGCCCAGGGGTTCGGGAAGAAGCCAGGCGTGAGGGAGCCGCCGGCTGCCCAGGGGCAGCACAGAGCAGGACAGGCCACAGACAAGGAACCTGGGCTTCCTCCTGCTCTGGGTTTGCTGACATGGGTTCCGTCTTTTCACGGAGCCGCTCAGAGGCCTGGATAGGTGGGGGGGGAGGATGGGGAGGGGGTTGAGCCTCAAGGTGGATGGCGACACTGTGTCATGCCTGGTTCTTTATAGGCCCCCAAGCCCCTGCTGGATAGGGACCATTCTGTCCACGCCACCTTGGAGAGCTGAGTTTCCCCTAGAGTGGGGAGGGGGGCGGCTGCAGCCCTGGGGATGGGAAACACTCTTTTCCTCTTTTCATTTGCTCCTTAAGGAGAGCAGATTTCTGGGGTGGGGGAGAGGCGTTGAGGAGGGGGGCACTGAGCCTAGGAGGAGTGCACGCCTCTGCTCCAGAGGATGCAAGGGCCTGTGTGGGCTCTGAAGTAAGGCCTCAAGTAGGCCCTGGCCCTGGAAGGCTTCTCCTTCTCAATTTAGTTTTCCTCCCTCCCTCCCCCTTCCTCCCTCTCCTCTCCATCTCCTCTCTCTCTCCCTCCTGCTTCCTCTCTTTCTCTCCTTCCCCTCCTCTCTCTCTCCCCCTCCCATCCCCCTCTTTCCTCTCTCTCTCTCTCTCCCATCCCCCTCTTCTCTCTCTCTCTCTCTCTCTCTCTCTCTCTCTCTCTCTCTCTCTCTCTCTCTCTCTCTCAGCATGGTGACTTACAAACTTCTCCACAGCTGAGTTTCAGGCACACAGTGTCCCAACACCAGTCCCCACCGCCAGTGTCAACTTCCCTCCACCAGTGTCCCCAGTTTCCCTCCCACCTAGCCTGCTTCCTTTGATAAGCACATTTAAATTTTGATGGTAGCGGCCTGGGGCACTTTGTTTTATATTTTGGTTTTGGGGCCACACCCGCTGTGCTCAGGGCCTACTCCTGACTCCGCACTCAGGAATCACTCCGAGTGGTGCTCAGGGGAACCCTATGGGATGCTGGGGACCGATCCCAGGTCCCAGCTGCACCAACTCCCGGGGGGCCCGGCTGCTATGGTGTGGGTCTCCCGCTTCCTGTGTTGTGGACTCTATGGTTCGGATCTCTACCTAGGCCCCTGTGTGTCACCACTCAGGAACCTGGGGCTCTTCAGCCCCGCCCCTGGTTACTCCTCTTCACTGCTTCTTGCTACTTTGCTAATTTCTTTTCTTTTTTTTCACTCCTGGCTCTGTACTCAGGAACTACTCCTGGCGGTGCTCGGGGGAACCATGTGGAATGCTAGGAATCGAACCTGGGTCAGCTGAATGCAAGGCAAACGTTCTACCCACTGTGCTATTGCTCTAGCCTCTGTCAATTTTTCCCCCCTCTCTCTCCTTCCTGTATCCTGGGGTCACGGGCGATGCAGTTAACCCCCCTTTAATACTGGTTCTCTCCTCTTCTGTGGGGTTGACATGTATCAAGGTTCCCTGTGGGGCTCACGGAAATGAAGGAGGAAACTATTCCGAGGTGGAAGGGTGATGGGGCTGAGGGGTCGGCAGGCCCTCAGGTTGGTCTACGTTGAGTCTGAGCTCGGGGGTAACCCCTCGGCTGACTCCCCCCTAAAGGCACGATCTGGTTCTATCTCAGAAAGCCCCAAGCTGGAGCCAGGCTCTCATCTCATCTTGCCAATAGCCGAGAGGGTCAGAGGGTCAGATGGCCCCTGGCTGTCAATGCCATCACGGCCACCTCCCTGGGTGCAGTCACTGACCTGCTTCCAGGTGAAGCGCACGGAAGACGGAACCACCACCAGCAGCGGCCACTCCTTCCGGTAATAGGCGGCGATGCACAGGGCCTGGATGGTCTTGCCCAGGCCCATGTCGTCAGCCAGGAGCAGGCGGCCTCCCTTGGCTATGGCGAAACTGAAAGTGGCCAGGGGTGAGGAGGGCGGCGTGCTTCCCCAGGGGGCCCAAGGTCAAGCTGCCGCCATTGCCATGCTGGACAGCTCAGGCCCTGCCCACAGGGACCAGTTCCCCCACAGAGAAAGAGCCGGGCAGGACCCTGACAAAGAGAGGCCAGAGAGGGCAGTCAAAAGGCAGAGAGCTCTGAAAAAAAAAAAAACCCGAGTGCCCTAGAACACATGACTGGTTAAAGAAACTTTGGTACATCTACAAAATGGAATACTATGCAGCTGGTAGAAAAGAGGAAATCATGAAATTTGCATACAAGTGGATAGACATGGAGAGTATCCTGCTAAGTGAAATGAGTCAGAAAGAGAGGGACAGACATAGAATGACTGCATTCATTTGTGCAATATAAAGTAACAGAATAGGAGACTAACACCTAAGCATTGTAGAGATAAGGACCAAAAGGATCGCTCCATGGCTTGAAAGCTAATCTCATGTACTGGGGGGAAAAGGCAGCTGGGATACAGAAGGAAACACTAAGTAAATGATGGGTGGGGGGGCTTGCTCAGGATGGGAGATGTGTGCTGAAAGTAGACTATGGACCGAACATGATGGCCGCTGAGTAGCTATACTGCAAACCATTACACCCAGAAGGAGAGAGAGAGTAAGAGGGAATGTGCCTGCCACAGAGGTGGGGGTGGGAAAAGGTAGGGGTGGCGGGGGGGGGGGGGGATACTGGAAACATTGGTGATGGAGAATGGGCACAGGTGGAGGGATGCATACTGGAACACTGTATGACCAAAAGGTAACCATGTAAGCTTGTAAATCTGTAACTGTATCTTTCGGTAGCACTGTAGCACTGTCCTCCGTTGTTCAAGACTTGTTGTTACTGTTTTTGGCATATGGAATACATCACGGTAGCTTGCCAGGCTTTGCAGTGTGAGGGAGATACTCTTGGTAGCTTGCCGGGCTCTCCGAGAGGGACGGAGGAATCGAACCCAGGATGGCCACGTGCAAGGCAAACGCCCTGCCTGCTGTGCCATTGCTCCAGCCTGTATCTCACAGTAACTCATTAAAAAAAAAAAAAAAGCAGGGAGGAGGGCTGCCTGATAACCAGGTGGAGGAGGCCAAGGGAGCGAGTGTCCATGGGAGACATCTGCTTTCAGTGAGTGGGGGGCACAGGAGAGAGCTGGTGGGGTTCAAGTATGGCCCTCTGAGGAGCAAGGATGATGGGAGAAGCCTGAGAGAATGGATGGAAGGGCTAGCATAGATGGACACACCGGGGGAGAGGCACCAGGGGAAGAAGACCAAAGCGAGGATATTTCCTAAAGTGGGAAGCTCAACCTCAGCCAAGTGCTCGAGCTGCCAGTAGCTCCAGGGTCCCCCAAGTCCTGACTGAGGCTTCCAGGTCCTGAGGTGCAGCAACCCGAGCTGAGGAGCCTGATACCCCTTGGACCCAGGCTGGGACCCCGTCCCGGGGCAGGGAAGTGCTTCTCTTACCATAAGAGTGCCACAGGAAGGAGAAAAGTCACACAGACAAACACTCACAAAGACGGGCGGGAGTCACCTGGTCAGTCGATGACAAGCCGAAAAGACCCCCCCGACAAAGAGGAGAGCGAGGGCCAAAATATTACTGGTTTGGGGCCAGCGCGATAGCAGGTAAGGCATTTGCCTGCATGTGGCCGAGCTGGGTTCGATTTCCAGCATCCCTTATGGTCCCTTGAGTACCACCAGGAGTAATTCCTGAATGCATGAGTCAGGAGGAACCCCTGAGCATCGCCGGGTATGACCCAAAAAGGGAAGAAAGGGAAGGGAAGGGGAGGGGAGGGGAGGGGAGGGGACGGGAGGGGAGGGGAGGGGAAGGAAAGGAAAAGATCTGAGCACGTGAAGAGAGATCAGGGACCTACTTGACTCCAACTCTCTGGAAAGGCAGCAGGCTGGACACAAGCTTGGTGTCCACTCCAGAAAGGTCCGCCTCAGGAATGTCGACTTCCACGCATGTCTTCTTCAGCTGAGAGGCGAAAGCCTGGAGCAGCGTGTTGGGCAGAGGCTCCAGCAGAACTTGGGGAACGAGGCGTGCTTGTTCAACTACAAGCAACAGAGGCCTAAGTCAGGAGTCTTCGGGCCGAGAGAGCGAAGGAAAGAGAATGGGGTTGGGAAGACCAAGCTCAGTGCCGGCCATCGTCTCTGAAAGAAGCAACTAGAGAGGAAATGGAGAGGCACTTCCTGTGACAAAGACTCAACCCCGAGAACTAGTTTTCCCTCCCTGGCCTGTGACTTCTGCAAGGGGTGAGGGCAGTCAGTCATATGGACTTGGATTCCTGGACCACACTCAAAAAGAACTGGACAGAACTGCCAAGTGTTATGCCTGGATTCTGAGCCTCAAGTCATGGGAAGATGATGGGAGTAGTCCCACTCTAATACAAACAAACTCACAGTCCTCATAAAAGAACACACAAAAAGTGAGACTTAGACATAGATTCCCCCCCTCCCCGCCCCCTTTATTTTCAGGCCAACCCCAGGCAGTGGCTCTGCCCTCAGGAATTACTCCTGAGAGCTGTGTGTGTGTGTGTATGGGGGGGGGGGGGGGTGAGGAGGAACCATATGAGATGCCGGATATTGAACCCGGGTCTGTTGCACGCAAGGCAAGCACCCTGCCAGCTGTACTATCTCTCCGGTCTTGTACTAATTCTTTTTTTTTTTAATTTACTTTTATTCACCTTTTTTTTTTTTCTTTTTGGATCACACCTGGCAATGCACAGGGGTTACACCTGGCTCTGCACTCAGGAATTACTCCTGGCAGTACTCAGGGGACCATATGGGATGCTAGGAATCGAACCCGGGTCAGCCGCGTGCGAGGCAAATGCCCTACCCACTGGGCTATTTCTCCAACCCCATGTACTAATTCTTTTTATCTTCTCTTTCGGTTTTGATGTTTGAAAAGTCAGAGAACTAAGTAGCAGTCAATTACGAGAAGACATTGTCTTCTGCTCAGGGAAGCTGTTGGGCGTCCCTAGGGAAGATCAAACAGATGGCAGGGCCCCTACAAAGGCCACGGGGTGGGGGTGGAGGAGAGAAGTACGTGTGTGTACGTGTATGTGTGTGTGTGTGTGTGTGTGTGTGTGTGTCTGGAAGAAAGCCATAGTTTCTGACGGCAGTGAAGCAGGGAGAAAATCCACTACTCTGGAGGTGACCCACAGGCCCCAAAGCAGATGTTGGCAAGCAAAGGCGATTTTTTTTTTTTGGTAAATGCCCGTTTTTATAAACGGAGCTTTGTGGGCGCCCTGCCATGCCAATTTGTTTATGGATTGGCTATGGTTGCTTTCACTCTACAGTGGCAGCGCTGAACAGTTGGAAGAAACGGCACAGCCCACAGAGCCTAAGATATTTTCTAGCTGGCCTTTTGCCCCAAAAACAACAAAACAAAACTTCTGCTAAGTTTCGAGCCAAAACTGTTCCTAGGAGGGTCCACTACTCTCACTCCTCCCAATTAAGGCTTAAGTTCGGGGGTCTTTACTCTCCTTCCAGGTGAGCTGCTTCTAGACCCCTGCACAAGAAAAGAGGAAATGGAGCTATTCACTCAAGTGAGAAAAACGTAAGATCCTTGGCATCTACGTGGAAATAAAAGCAAATAAAATGCGTCCGTTGATTTCATTTTTTTTGGAAAGAATTTAGCCTCAACCTCATTTTAAAAGGAAAAGGAATAGCCATCATTTTACAGAGAAACCAGAAAAGGAACAAACCAGAAAAGAGCAAACAAAATGCTCAATTCAAAGGGTGAGAGAAGACAAGTTAAATTCTTGTTAAGTCAGAGATGACACACGGAGGGATGCCCATCACAGAACTAACTACTAATTACAGTTTTGCTTGTAAGGGCCCTCTGTCTCCAAGATGTTCTTCCCTCGTATCATCATCCTCTGAAAGATCTAACTAGAAATATCACCATTTGTAAACAGACCGCCAATTGCTCTTTAACTTTTGCTTTCCAAGAGCACTCTGGGATACGCGGCACGGTGATTCACCAAGGGGGTAATTGTCCTCAGGACTTCAGTCAAGGGAGCCAAAGAGACTAATTATGTGAATTTCACTTCTGCCCAATAGGATTCGAAACTCTGAAGCTGTTAGCTCTATTATTTCACACAGTCCTGTGTCTTCTTAAAAAAAAACAAAACTTACAAACTTTTCACAAACTGTCTACAACCATCAACTGGCAACTATAGCAAATGCAGATGTGAATACAGAGGCTGAGCTATGCATGGAGCCACCTTCTGTGTTGGCAGTATTTTTTTTTTCTTTTTCTCTTTGGGTCACACCCAGCAATGCACAGGGATTACTCCTGGCTTTGCACTCAGGAATTACCCCTGGTGGTGCTCGGGGGACCATATGGGATGCTGGGTATTGAACCCGGGTCAGCCACATGCAAGGCAAATGCCCTACCAGCTGAACTCCAGCCCCAGCAACGTGTGTGTGTGTGTGTGTGTGTGTGTGTGTGTGTGTGTGTGTGATAGTCATACCCAGCAATGCTCAGGGGCTACTCCTGGCTCTGCACTCAGGAATTACTCCTGGCGGTGTACGGGGGACCATATGGGATGCCGGTATTGAACCCAGGTCGGCCCTACCTGCTGTACTATTGCTTTAGCACCACAGGCAGTATATTTTTAACCCCATTCCCAGCCCTTACGAAATACATGCACGGGTCATTTCTGGAAACAGAATCTACGTGAACAGAATCACCCAAGGTGGAAATCAAGGTAAAGCCGGTGCTTTCATAGGAAGGCAGAGCCAATGCTGGTGCAGAAAAATGTGCCATGCATCCAGAATTAAACGGAAGCACGTGGATTCCTGCAAATCTTGGGGAGACTGAGCACAGGTGCTCCCAGCACTCAATTCCATCTTACTCCTACTGATTTTCAGCACTCAAATACCTCACGGGAGTGAAGGGCTAGTTGGTGATCTGCCGGGTATGAGAACGTGGTCCTTTAAAAGCACGACAGCTAGCCAGTCAAGCACAGCCGCCCGGCTTCCTACCAACTCCAGTCTCCCAAATCGCACCCAATGGGGGATGGGTGGGGAGGAGGCGCATTTCTGAGCAAGGGTCCATCCATGGTCAGTGCCTGCCACTCATCCTGGCACTGTACTGGTGCTAGGCAGGAAAGTGAGTTGCATCTGTGCTGCTTTTTTCTGGCAGGAGGTCCCAGAGCCACTGGGATATTACTGTTTCCAAATAGTAGCTGAGGAGACAAGATCCGCTGAGGGGGGAGGCAGGGCCCTTCCGGACTGTGACAGTCAAGGGAAAACAGGTCTTGTGCCTGTTTCAGAGCGAACAAAAGGCCTCCAGTCACTTAGGAAAGGGAGCGAAGGGAAGCTCTTAAGAGTCTTCAAAATAATGGTTCTGGGAAGGTGTAATGGTGCTGGGGATTGGTGCTGGAATAGTGAATGTAATAAATTGTTGTGAACGACTTTATAAAAATAAAATAAAATTCACTGTCACTGTCACTGTCCTCCCATTGTTCATCGGTTTGCTCGAGCGGGTCCAGTAACGTCTCCATCGTGAGACTTGTTACTGTGTTTGGCATATTGAATATGTCACGGGGAGCTTGCCAGGCTTTGCTGTGCAGGCGAAATAAAATTGAAAAAAAAAAAAAGAGTCCTCTACTCAGAAGCAATAGAACAGTAGGTAGGATGTTTGCCTTGCACATGGCTGGCCCAGGTGTGTTTCCAGGTTCACTCTCCCAGCTCATCATAAAACCAAAAACTGACCCTCTCATTGCATGGCTGCATGTTGATGTGCAGAAGACTCTTTTTTTTTTTTTTTTAAGGGCTGGAGTGATAGCACAGTGGTAAGGGGTTCGCCTTGTGCGCAGCCGGCCCAGCCCAGCCGGGTTCGATTCCTCCGCCCCTCTCAAAGAGCCCAGCAAGCTACTGAGAGTATCTTGCCTGCACGGCAAAGCCTGGCAAGCTACCCGTGATGTATTCAATATGCCAAACACAGTAACAACAAATCTCATGATGGAGACGCTACTGGGCCCGCTCGAGCAAATCGATAAGTGATTTTACTTATTTATTTTTTGCTTTTTTGGTCACACCCAGCAATTCTCAGGGGTTACTCCTGGTTCTGCACTCAGAAATTATTCCTGGTGGTGCTCAGGGGAACATGTGGGATGCCAGGGACTAGACCAGAGCCCGTCGGGTGCAAGGCAAGCGCCTGACCTGCTGTACTCTCTTTCCGACTTCAATTCTTATCAGATTTTTTCAAGGAGTCTGCGGCCCACAAAATACCTGGAACCTTTTTTATAATGCTTTAATGGCACATAAGTTACATGTCAAGGTTTCTCAAAATTACACTTAGCTACCAACGTTTAAGTATCTTGCTTTTGGCTGTGCCATAACAGTACGCCTGTAGCACAAACAAATTTCTGTCTCGATGTTGTTCTGAAAGATGAGGAGGTGAGAAGGGGAAAAACTCATTACTGTTTCTCATCAAACATTCAGTCTTGGTCTGCTCTGAATCACAAGCTCCAAACCGCAGCAGGATTTGGGCCAGAGGGTCCCAGACCAAATCAGTCATCTGCATCGGTCCATGATTGCTGATGATCACAGCCAGTGAGAACGTCACCTGCTAGTTGGGAGCAGATGATCTTTCCTTATATTTCATCTGTCAGCAGCATAGAGCTGGATTAAAGAATCCCTTTACTGACTGAGAGAACAGACAGGATCCAGCATGCATGACCTACTTGATGCGACATCACAGGTCATATCAGAAGATTAAAGGAGAAGGAACCCAACTTTTCCCTGTTTTGTTGAACCAAGGGGGGCTGAAGGCCAATGACTCAGAGCTTCCTTGACTAGACTATGTCTCTCCTGGCCTAAGTAGTTCCAAGGGGGCTGGGGGGGGTGGTTAGCAGGCCCTCAGGTGGCCAGGTTGAAGAAATGCCAAGACGCACCAGTGACTATCCTCTGTAGGACTATGACAGCCCGAAGATGCATGACAGCCTGGCGTTCGGGACCCGAAGGCTGAGACATGACCATACTCCCTTTCCTAGGCAAACTCACATTTACTGTCCCTCCCAGGTGTAGGTGTAGCAGAGAGGACAAAACAACCAGCCCAAGGCTTTCCCTTGTGGTCCTATCTCTGCAGATATCCCTTTCTTGGCCAGCTTCCAAGATGCTCATCAAAACGTTTTTAAGTGCCCGCTCCTGGGCTTCTGCATCTGAGACACTCCTTCCTTTGAGGATCACTCGGTTCTAGAAGCAAACCCAGAGCCTATTCTTAGAGGCCAGCTCAAGTCGCACCCACTTGAGTGACTCGAGGCCTTGTGAGCTCCCCTGAGATTTCCAATATGCACAGAATCCTCCCTCGGAGGACTCCTCTGATGAAGGAGAGGTTTCAGAGGTCCCAGGAATCTGACTGGAATGGACTCATTCTTTCCCACCCCCTACCCCCCTTACTAAACATTTGGGCTGGAGTGATGGCACAGTGGGTAGGGCATTTGCCTTGCACACGGCCAATCCAGCCGACTGGAGTTCGATTCTTCCGCCCCTCTCGAAGAGCACGGCAGCTACCGAGAGTATCTTGCCCACACAGCAAAGCCTGGCAAGCTACCCATGACATATTCGATATGCCAAACACAGTAACAAGTCTCACAATGGAGACGTTACTGGGCCCAGTCAAGCAAAATGATGAACAACAGGAGGACAGTGCTACAGTGCTACTAAACATTTATTTATATCCCATACATGGGAGATAATTTTCTTTAAAAACTTATTGTGGATGTGGTGATGATGTGCTTATACATCCTTTGATGTAGTTTTTAAAAAAGAAACATAATTCACTCACAAATTAAAGTAAAGCCTCCTTGCTTGGGGGCTTATGGAATGGACTCATTTTGACGGGAGTAGTGACCCAGTCAGGAAAAGCTGTCACCTGAGTGGGCTTGGATGAGGCTGCTGAAGAAACTGCCTCATCTCCTCTTCCCTACACAAGCAGTGCGTTGCCACAGCAGAGAGAGGGAGAGAGCCTTAAACACGTCAAGCAGGAGAGCCCACCACCTGCTCCAACAGCGCCCCAGAAGCCAAAAACCACACTCGACAACTGCCGCCATGCTCATGGCCAGACTCTGCCGCTTAGGACGAGCCTCATCCAGAAATTGATCTGCTGAAAAACTCAGGTATGCAAGTTTTGTGACTGAAATCTCCAGACTCTCATGGACTCGGGGATGAGCGACCTCCACACACCTCTCTGTTCTCCTGGAAGCCCAGCAGTCAGGTCCATGAACTGCCTCTGGGCCAAATAAGCTCATTAACCGGCCATGATCCAGAGACTCATATATCAATCTCAAAAGAGATCAACAAGTTTCAGAGGTGCTTTCGGATCATGCGCCAGGCTGATTTGTCTGGGCACCCAAAGTCACCATCCAGTTAAAAACTTAACTCCAGCTGTATCATTCAAAATGTTTGAATTTCTGGAGCGTATGGCTGCGAATGTGACATCTCAAACTCTGTACCACTGATAAACCAGCAATAGCACATCACATTGGGCGGGATGTAAAGTAGAAGACAACCAATCTTGAGCAATAAATATTAACACACAAGGCTTACCTGGTAACATGTTAGTAATCTCTGTTCATGGGCTTAATGGCTCCATGGTGAGATATAACAATATTCACACACCTTCTTCTAAGGAAATGTTTTTTGATCGTTTTTAGAAAATTATAATAAGCGCGGCCAACCCGGCCAAGCAGGGTTCGATTTGTCCGCCCCTCTTGGAGAGCCCGGCAAGCTACCGAGAATATCTCACCTGCACAACAGAGCCTGGCAAGCTACCAGTGATGTATTCAATATGCCCAACACAGTAACAACAAGTCTCACAATGGAGATGTTACTGGGCCCGCTCGAGCAATCGATGAACAATGGGAGGACAGTGTCTGTTTTTGTTTTTATCATAAGCAATATAAAATAAATTATTTGGGCCTGCTACAGCAGTAGGCTTGAGGGGTGGTTGGGAAAACTGGAAATAATGGTTGTAGGAAGGTATACCGGTGGTGGGATTGGTATTCAAGTACTGACTGCAATAAACCATGAAAAACTTTTATCTAAATAAATTTAAAAAAAAAAACACATGCCAGATTAAAGCAGACTATTAAACCTTACAACAGTGTGATGGAAAAACAAGGCAAGTGGGGGGCATCTTACTCAACACGTTATGCTCCTCCAACAGAAAGTTCCACTTCCTGGTCTTGGCATCTGCAATGAGAAGAAACAAATAAGCAAACACAACCCCCACCTTTCTGCTGCATCTTCACACGTGCCACTGCCTGGGAGCAAAAGTGTCCAGGAAGCTGTGATGATACAACTCATTTTTCTCGCCAAGGAGCTGGAATGGCCAAATGGTTAAGGTCTCCTCGGGCCCGCAGGGAGTCCTGGGAGGTTGACCTTATGATCTTCAGTTTGCCTCACTGGTACCCAGGGTCATACTGGTGGTCCACACTTGAATGTGGCTTCAGTTAACACAAAATACAGTGCTAGGGTCAATGTGTACATCTTCCAGGTCCCCTGGAATGCCTGGGAATGGACCAGTTTGGGTGACAATATTTTAGTTGTCCCTGGCCACACCAGAAATAATCTTACTTCGTTTCTCTTTTTGTTTCTTTTTTTTGGAACGGTGGGATGAGCGGGGAGTCATACGTGGCAGTGCTCAGGGCTTACTCCAGGCTATGCACTCAGGAATCACTCCTGGCAGGGCTTGAGGGACCATGAAGGGAACTTGGGTCAGACATATGAAACACTCTATCCACTGCACTATCTAGAATCCAGCCCCACTAGGAATGATTTCAAAGATCACTTTATTTATTTATTTATTTTTGCTTTTTGGGTCACACCCGGCGATGCTCAGGGGTTACTCCTGGCCCTGCACTCAGGAATTACTCCTGGCGGTGCTCAGGGGACCATATGGGATGCTGGGATTCGAACCTGGGTTCGCTGCATGCAAGGCAAACACCCTACCTGCTGTGCTATCACTCCAGCCCCCTCAAAGGTCATTTTAAAAAAAATAAAGAATAAAAAGAAGACACAGATTAATCGGCCCAAGCTCAGGTCAAATACTTCAGGGGGCGAAACCCCTTAGGTCAGTAGCTCACTGGGCTAGGATGGAATCATGGAATCTCTCATCTAAGCCCGTGTTCAAGGCTGAAAACCACTTTCTGAGAATCCATAACGGTACTTGTTTTCATGGTAAGCACTAGTTTCTCAATCCTGCTAAAGACAACATACACGTTGGTGGGTTTTTATGGGGCTGGAGTGACTATACAGTGGGCAGGGTGCCTGCCTGGCACACACACAGCCAACCCAGGTTTGAGCCACCCCCGCCTGCCAGGAGTGATCCCTGAATGCTGCTGAGCCAGGAGTAAGCCCTGAGCACCTCCAAGTGTAGGCTTCCCCTCAAAAAAAAAAAAAAAAAAAGCAAAAATCAAAAAGTCTTTGGGTTTTTTGCCAGGACACAATGATGTGGGGAACAGAGAAAATCGTAGCTTTGTCTCTTTAAGGACAAAACACATGAGTTCCCTGCGTGGGATAATTTAGGGGTCACCTTCCGGCCATGACAAGAGCAGGTCAGAGAGGTTCTACCCAAGATTTCTGAATTTCTGAACATTCACTCAGAGGGGGGGTCACAGACCATGGGGCATCCTGGGGACAGGGCTGAGACTTGCCGTAAATCTTGGACTTCATCTTCCGGAAGAGTTCGATCAGGTCTTCGGAATAGCCGATGTCTGCCTCGAAGCGGGACCTGGAGATGAGCAGGCACTGCCCTTTGACAAAGGAGAGCGAAGCCGCTGGAGGCAGGCGGGCGTCGCTGGGTCCCGCAGTCTGGGGCTCCCTGTTTCCGGGGGCCTCTTCCAAAGGCTGCAGGGTGACCGTCGGAAGGTTCTGGACCGCTTTCACTGCAGAAAAGCAAAGGACCGAGGGTGACAACCCCGCTGGCTTTTATGAAGGTTCTGGGAGCTCAGGCGGTGGCGGAGGAGGAGGAGAGAGGGAGGAAGTCTGGGATGGGGGGCAGTGAGGAACGGCCTGGTTCCTCGAGGGAGATGGGCAATGGACTTTGGGATCTGCACCAGCACAACTCTTCAGGTCTCTGCTCCATAAGTTTTCTTTTCTTTTTTGGGGGGAGGCGGGGCTGGGATGGAGCACACCTGGTGATGCTCAGGGTGATACTTATATCTGTGAGCTCAGGGATAACTGCTGGGCTTGAAGGACCCCAGAGAGTGTTGGAGACTGAACCAGGGTGTACCAGGCATCTGCCCTGCTATCAATCCAGGCCCCACTCCTTAAGTTTCCAAACGAAAATCCTTAGATGTCAGAAATTAACAGCAGAAAAGGAATCTCTGCGGGGTGAAGAAACGTATTCCTTTCTGCAGAGGAACCACTGAAGGCAACCAGAGAGATCACTGACCCCTTTTTTCAGGGTTCCGCTGACCCAGGCATGGACGGCAAGGCGAAGAGCTCAACAACACCAGGCACAAACTCAGTTCTGAACCGGAATGTGTCTGTCATAGACGCAATTTATGGATGAATAGATTTGGCTCCATAAAACAAAAACTGTCAAAAACATGAATTGAACTGAAAGACGAAACTACTAAATAAAGACATCTGCAGGAAATACAGAGGGTGGTGGGGATTGGGTGGGGTGGGGGGGAGCAATGATGAATAAACATTTGGAGAAATGTTCAATTTCACAAATGATTAGAGAAATAAAAAGCTATATTTTACTTATCAAAACTGGCAGTGTGTGTGTGTGTGTGTGTGTGTGTGTGTGTGTATGAGTGTGTTTTAAAGGATAAGGCAAGCGATACAGCTTGGTGACAGGTAAAGTATATGCATACCTGGGATGCCAGAGGGTCTGGACTCAATCCCTGGCAACACACACACACACACACACACACACACACACACGGAAGAAAAGGTATCTTCACTGAAGGGTGGAAATCAAACCTTTTGTAAAACAATTTGGCAATACAAAGCAACAGCCCTAAAAAGTGAAGATAATGATGCCATTTCTAGGAAATCTATCCTAAGAAGCAACTGAAACCCACCTCCCCACACCCCAAATCGACAAAGGTGTTTCTTACCCTGGAAAAATGAGAGCAAAGTGAAACTAAACCGAAACACGTAAACAACCTAAATAAATATGTATAATAAACAATTATTTAAGTAATTTATAGCACATTCATGAAATGGGATGACTGTAGTTCAGTCATTAATTTTTCTGAAGAAATCTGGGGGAAGATAAAAGTGCAAAACCCAAGATGAAGTTCAACAATATAGGATCATTTTTTTTAAGAGGTCTAAGTGGTCTATAACAAACACCCACATTTTCATCTCTGAGAATTAACTGTTAACAGTCACTTTCAGGGTAAAAATGCTTCTACTGGAGAACTGGTAAAGGAAAGATAAAAATTAATCTGCATGTAACATTTGGATATTTGAACACACAGAGAAAAGGTTGGAAGGGAAAAGTCCCAATGATAGTAACAGTGGCTGAGTTGGGAAAATTATATGGGGGAAGAGAATTTCTTCTCTGCACAAATGACAGACTTTCCATTAGGTTTATGAGGTGGCCGAGTTAGCACTGTAGCACTGTTCTCCCATTGTTCATCGATTTGCTCGAGCGGGTCCAGTAACGTTTCCATTTTGAGACTTGCTGTTACTGTGTTTGGCATATTGAATACGTCACGGGCAGCTTGCCAGGCTTTGCCGTGCAGGCGAGATACTTTCAGTAGCTTGCCGGGCTCTCCGAGAGGGGCGGAGGAATCGAACCTGGCTCAGCCAAGCAAGCCATGCACAAGGCAAACGCCCTAGCACTGTGCTATTGCTCCAGCCCTGTGTTACTGCCGAGTTACAAAGACAAAATCCAGGTAAGAGATAAAGCTCAGTCATCATAGAGCATATGGAGCCAGGAGTTCGATTCCTGCCCCCCGCCCCTAAGACAAAGCGAAGTGATGTCCAGGCCAATAGAATCAAGGGCCTGGAGGCACGAGAACTTCCCCCGTCCCCCACTCACCTGAGTACCAGCCAGGTAACTGTTTGACCAGAAGCTCAAATGCCCCAGGTCCCACATAGCATTTGACCAGAAGCTCAAAAACCCCGGATCCCACACTGCTGGAGCCCGCGTGTCCTTCTAAAAGGGATCCCTGGTGCCACATTTTCCAGGTGTGGTACAGGCAGGGGTACGTGAGCACCACAAGAGGGGGGATGGGACTGGTGAGCACCGTAACTCCCATGAGGCAGGATGCATGCCAGGTCCCAGAGATGTGAGCCGGAAGCACGCAGGCAAGCACGCAGCTGAAGAAGGCACATTCTGATGAGCACTAGGCACAAGTCCCTCAGCTGGATGTGTGACACCCCCCCCCACCCCGCCCTCCGCCAGGGAGCACCCTAGCTAGAAATGTGGGTGCCCCAGAGCCTGGCATGCCTACAACATGAGGCCCCCTCCCCAGACGATGGCAGTCAATTTTCTGGGAAGTAATAGCTCTGAAGTTACAAAGGCCAACCTTGCAGAAAACATGAAGTTAAGTCCTGACAAGACCCTCACCTGGCGCCAGCAACCTGGACCCTGAGGAGGTTGGATTCCTCCTCATGAAGGAAATTCCTCAAATACCCTTAGATCTCTCCCTTAATCCAATTTACTTTAGTGATTCAGCCCAGAGAAGACTCCAGAATGTTCCGGATCAAGACAACCCGAGAAGTGCCTATAAAAGCCAACTTGAACAAAGGAACGGTGCACATCTGTGCTGTTTGTGCCCACCTGGCCAAGCACATGTGTCGCCCGCATCTCCCGTCTTGAGATGTAGACTTTCATGCTTTCATGTCTAATGCTGGGATGTGTATAGGGGCTCTCTCCGCCCTTCGAGAAGCCCGGGTTTTCTTTTGAGCATGTTACTCTCCACTCTCTCCCACTTTCTCTTCCTCCTTCCCTCCAAGACCTCCAATTTAAAAAAAAAAACAAACCCTATAATTTCACTGCTCGTCTACTCCTGAAATTCCTTTCTGCGAGGCAAGACAAGAACCCAGTAACCCTGGGTCCTGGGTGGCAGAGGCTTCACCCGTGGGACCCACTGGCATCACAACTACCCGGTCACTGCAATATTATCAACAACAACAAAGAGCAGATGGGGGAAGGGGGGAGAGACAGGGAGTAGAAACAGAAAGAAAAAGGACCAATTGAGACCGTTTTTATGTTACACTGATTAAAAGGAAGATTCACTAAAACACAATGAATTCCAAGTGTTTCTGAAAACTAAAATGGAAGACACCCTAAGCACTTTGAGAGTGTTGAAACATTTATTTCTCCATACTATTACAGATTTTTGCACTGAGGAGATTAATGATTCATGATCAGTAAAATCCCACTCAAAGTTATATAGAGAATTTGGGTCCAATAAACAGCTTTGGGGACTGGATGGGGCACTGGCTATGTGGATTCAATTCAGGTTTGAATCCAGATTGATCCAGGTTCAATCCCCAGCATCCCATATGGTCTCCTGAACACTGCCAGAAGTGATTCCTGAGAACAGAGCCAAGAGTAAGCCCTGAGTACCACTGGGCATGGCCCCAAAGCCAAAACAAAACACAAAACAAAGGATAAAGTTTTGAAAAAAAAAAAAAAACAGAGGCTGGAGTGATAGTACAGTGGGTAGGGCCGTTTGTCTTGCATTTGGTCGACCGGGGTTCAATCCCCAGCATCCCATATGGTCCCATATAGTCCCCCAAGCACCACCAGGAGTAACTCCTGAGTGCAGAGCCAGGAGGAACCTCTGAGCAGTTCCAGGTGTCACCTCCCCAGCCCCCCAAAAGAGCAAAAATAAACAAATAAAATAAACAACAAAAGATAAAAATAAAACAGGTGAAGCATTACAAAAACAATCACTCCACAAAGACAATCTGAATTAATCTGCAAAAACAGAAGTTGTTCAAGCTACATGACATCACAGACCAGGAGCAAAAGAGCGCAACAATGGAAATTACCAATTTAGAATCAAGTTAATAAAGAATGTGTAAGACTTTTACATGGAAAGCTATTAGTCATTATTGAAAGAAAGAGGACAACGGGAAATGGAAAGTATTCCATGTGGATTAAAGAATTAGCATCATCAAAATAACCATCCTCCCCGAAGCATACACATGTCAATGCAATCCCTATCAAAATTTCAATGACATTCTTCAAGGACGTAGAAAATATGACAAAAAAATTGTATGGAAACTCCCCAAATAGCCAAAGTTATTCTGAGAAGACGAAAGATGGGAAGTATTGCATTTCCTGACCAAAGTAATCAAAACTGTGCGGTACTGGAATAAATAGAGACTCCGGCCGATGGAACAGAATAGAGAGCCTAAAGATAAGCCCTCAGATTCACGGACAGTTAATCTATGACGAAGGAGATGGGTGCATGAAGCGGAACAAGGAAAGCCGCTTCAACAGATAATGCTGGGAAAACTGAAGAGCCACATGCAAAAACAGGAAACTGGATCCATCTCTCTCTCACCAGACGCCAAAGTGAACTCAGAGGAATAAACATCAAGATAAGACCAGAATCATAAGATAAATTGAAAGAACATAGGCAGAACTCACCAGGACCCGGACCTCAGGGGACTTGCCAATGATTTCTCTTTGTTTGCCAAGATAACAAAAATAAACAAACAGGTCAACATCAAATTTAAAGGTTTTGGTAGGGCAAAAGGTTGGACTAATACTAAGACATCCCACTGAATGGGAGAAAATATCCACACAACATACATCAGATAAAGGGCTAATATCAACCCTATAGAGCACGCACATAAAAGGAACCAATGGGGGTATGATGCCTCCAACGGGTCAACCTGTACCTGCAGGGTGAGTGCATCAGCAGCCTGATGGTGCCTTCAGGTTTCCTGACACCCCAAAATTGCCGCTGTGCCTTTGGTCGGACCCCAACAACTTGGGACCAAGATTACCAAGAAATTAAACAGCCAAACGTTACGTATGTGGGAGCCACGCCCACAAACCACCTCCGGCTCAGCTATACAAGCACAATTATTGGCCTTCTTTCAGAGATCAATACATAAATCTTGAAAGAGACCAAAAACCACAGTTAATCTCAGACCTGCACATGGCTGAACAGACCGGGGTAAATTGGGGGGGGGGGGGGGGCAGGTTGGCCTGTGCCTGCCCAAGCAGAGCCCCAAGCAGCCGCTTGCTTCCACAATCCGAAATCACTGCCATACCCCCAGCCTGACTCCACCGGCTCAGGACGGACCTCACCAAGATATAATCTGCTGAAAATTCGGGTATGTGGGTTTTGTGACTGAAATCTCCAGGCTTTCACAAAGTTGGGTGGGCTATCTCCCCCCGCTCCCACTTCTCATCCACTTCTCAATACACATGGAAGCACTGGCAGTCACCCCCACAAACCAACTCCAGCCCCACCCTGTAAGCTCTATAATGGCCTTGCTTCAGAGACCCATAAATAAATCTCGAAAGACGTCAAAAGCGAAAACACAGCAGCAAGTCCCAGAAGACACTACAGAACTGAAGATCTCTCCAGGCCCTAGATCGAGCCAATTTCACCAATGCATACCAGATGAAGCAGGTGCAGTCTCCCTGCCTACTCCAGATGGAATCCTGGTGACCAAGAGCTTTCACAAGCAAGGCCCAGGCATGCAGGTTCCAGGACTAAATCTCCATGCTGCATGGTGGCAGAGGTGACTGGCTGTCCCTCCCCAGCTCCCCACCCAGTCGGTGACCTGGCTGCCGCACCCACAATGTGCCTCTAGGCACCACTTTAGCGCACCAACAGCCCTGGTCCAGAGATACCCAATTGAATCCCAAAATGGATTAGTGCCCTACAGAAATGTCTCTGGAACCCAACCATCTCAATCTAGGATTCCAGAAGCACGTGGCCACAACACCCAAGGTATTCAAAATGAGCAATGGACAATAAATGATCTACCATCTGCTCCTGGCAGGCAGGCTAGAATGGTGGTGGGAAAATTCGAGCAAAACATAATGCCCAAAAGTAGAGAGAGAGTATTGGGGAAATTGCCTGCCATGGACGCAGGGTGAGGACTAGGATGGGGGAAGATATACTGGGGACACTGGTGGTGGAAAGTGTGCAGTGGTGGAGGGATGAGTGTTTCATCATTGTACAACTGAATCTTGAACATAAAAGCTTTGTAACTGCATCTCACAGTGATTCAATTAAAAAAAAAAGTAATATGAAATCCATGTCCAACTCAATCAGCTTAATCAATGGCTGAATAAAAAGTGTACTCCTACATTAAAGAAAGGAAGGAAGGAAGGAAGGAAGGAAGGAAGGAAGGAAGGAAGGAAGGAAGGAAGGAAGGAAAAAAAGAAAGAAAGAAAGAAAGAGGGAAAGAAAGAAAGAAAGAAAGAAAGAAAGAAAGAAAGAAAGAAAGAAAGAAAGAAAGAGGGAAAGAAGGAAGGAAGGAAGGAAGGAAGGAAAGAAAGAAAGAAAGAAAGAAAGAAAGAAAGAAAGAAAGAAAGAATGCCATGAGATTGACAGGGAGAAATTCCCCAAAGAAGACTGGGGTGGCCAACAGATACATAAAAAAGTGTTCATTGCCATTTTTTATGAGGGAAACTAAGACAAGAATGAGAAATCATCTCACATCAATGGAAATGGCCTATTCAAAAAGATTGGAAACCACCAGTGTTAGGACGGATGCAATGACAAAGGCACCTCATCCGCTGTTGGTGGGAGCATCATCTGGTTCAGACCCTCTGGAAGACGGTGTAGCAACTTATCAAAGAATGAAAAATAGAACTCCCATTAGATTCCACTCCTTAGCATCCATCCCCAATATACAGAAATAATCCAAAAAAGATATATGCAAACCTATGTTCATTGCAATGCTTAAAACAACAGCCAACAGCGGAACTGGCATGTCCTTCTCACCCCAACCCCACCAAGACCACGAGTTGCCCCCACAAGCGGCTCTCCAGCACAGCCATGGACCCAGAGGCACACAAACCAATCTCGGAACTATGCGGTTTTTGGCAGAAATCCCTCCAGACTTAACTAGTAAAATATCAGAAATCCAAAATGGTCTTCATAACCAGCAATAGAAAACAAATTATTTCATGATGCCTTTTCAGCAGGTCTGATTGTTGGGGTAAAATTCCAAATAATAATGGTACATCTTTTGTCGAAATAATGAATGCAATCAAAGTGGAGAGAGAGAGAGAAGCTGAAGTGACAGCACAGTGGGTAGGGTATTTGCCTTGCACTCAGTCAACCTGGGTTCAATTCCCAGCATCCCATATGGTCCCCTGAGCACTTCCAGGAGTAATTCCTGAGTTCATGAGCCAGGAGTAACCCCTGAGCATCGCTAGGTGTGACCCAAAAAGAAAAAAAAAGTAATACAGGGACAATGGTGGAGGGTCCTGGGCCCCTCTGGGGTGGTGAGGGGCAGGAACTTCGTATACCCAAACCATAAACCTTAAAACTATTGTAACCATGTTACCTGAAATATAATTTCAATTAAGAAAGAAAGAGAGAGAGAGAGAGAAAGAGAGAGAAAGAAAGAAAGAAAGAAAGAAAGAAAGAAAGAAAGAAAGAAAGAAAGAAAAAGAAAGACGGGGCTGGAGTGATAGCACTGTGGGTAGGGCGTCTGCCTTGCACGCAATCGACCTTGATTCGATTCCCAGCATCCCATAGGGTCCCCCAGTACCGCCAGGAGTAATTCCTAAGTGCATGAGCCAGGAGTAACCCCTGTGCATCGCCAGGTGTGACCCCAAAAAGGCAAAACAAAAAAAAGAAAAAAGAAAAAGAGGAGAGAAAAAAATGATCAACAGTGAGAACCCCAGGAATCAAGATCTGTGCCCAAAATGCAGGGCCCTGAACCCGCCACTGCTCCAAACCAAAGATTATAGTGAAACCAAGCCACCTCCTCCCCACCAGCAGCAACCACAGAGTGGGGCCCACAAAGGCCACGCATTTCAAGTGCCAAAAGACCATGGAAATGAGCACAATTCAGCTGGGAGTTGCCCTGACACTACCCAGAGGCTGCTCTGCTGACTCCCCAGATTACAGCCTCTGCCCCCACGTCTGCTGGGGACTGAGCCAGCCAGGTTTCCTCATCTTGTCTCTTGTGAGTGCATCAGAGAAGAAGTTCCCAGGGAGTGAGGAGTCAGCACAGACACCAGAACCCCAAGGTGGCCCAGTGGAGATGCAGGTGCAGACTAAACCAAAGCCCAGAAGACTGAGTGATCTTCTTGGGTGGCCCCGCAATAACTGGACACAGGGTTGCCCAGAGTTGTTCTCCTTAACACCCTTCTCTCTGCAATCGAGGCCCCAGGCTGCTCAGTAAACCTTCAGGGTTTGTTCTGTCTGCACCCCACCACCTTCCTGGGGCCACGGTGGTTGCTGCCGCCGGCTATGGCTGCAGTTCAGGGGGGATTCACTCCAGAACCAGGCTGGGCCTCAGCTGCTGGCTGCGTGGCCCTACGCCAATGACTCAGCCTCCCTGGGCCTCAGTTTCCCCATCTGTAAAAAGGTTGTCATCAAGGACATAAAAGTTAGCACCGCGCTCCCTTTCGCTGACTTTGCCAGTGACTTTCACCCAAGGTAGCTTGGCTCCCCAGATGGACCCAGGGGAGAGCCCGCTCACCCATGCACAGGGCCCTGGACTCTCTGCCACAGCATGCCTACTTACTCAGGGCGCCGTAGTCGGTCATGCTGAAGTTCCACGTCTTGGACTCAGGGTCTGAAAGAACAGATGAAGTACTTCTTAGTAGTTGTGTCCAATGGACGAGACAAGGTGAGTGCAAGGGGATACGGTTGTAGGACTCTGGTCCAAAGGGAGAGATGAAGCTGGCTCCAATTTTCCCTGTGGCGTTGCATAAAGGCTTGCTTCAGGAATGACTCAATGCCCACACACTTTGGTCCAAGAGAGTTGACTGATCAATCAACCACTCTGTTTTCTAAATTTCTTAAGAGAGCAAAGGAGGGCGAGGGGGAGGGAATGGAGGGATAGTACAGTGGGGTAGAGCAGTTGCCTTGCATGTGGCCAACCCGGTTCGATTCCCAACATCCCACATGGTCCCCTGAGCACCGCCAGCAGCAATTCCTGAGTGCAGAGCCAGGAGTAACCCCTGTGCATTGCTGGGTGTGACCCAAAAAGATGGGAGAGAGAGACAGAGAGAGAGAGAGAGAGAGAGAGAGAGAGAGAGAGAGAGAGAGAGAGAAGCAGTTACAAATAAGAATGATGCGGCTATAGACCAAACATGATTGTCACCCATTGCCTCTTTTGCAAACCACAACACCCAATAGGACAGAGAGAACGAAAGGGAATGCCCTGCCACAGAGGCAGGGTAAGATGGGGGGGGATGGAGGATGGGAGGGATACTGGGATCCATGGTGGTGGTGGGAAATGGGCACTGGTGGAAGGATCGGTATTTGATCATTGTATAATTGAAACCCAAGCACAAAAATTTGTAAGTCTACAACTGTACCTCATGATGTCTCACTAATAACAACAATAAAAATTTTTTAAAAAATTAAAAAAAAAAAAAGAACGAAGCAGGGCTGAAGTGATAGCATAGTGGGTAGGGTATTTGCCTTACATGCAGTTGACCCGGGTTCGATTGCCAGCATCCCATATGGTCCCCCAAGTACCGCTAGGAGTAATTCCAGAGTGCATGAACCAGGAGTAATCCCTGTGCATCACTGGGTGTGACCGCCCGCCCCCCCCCCAAAAAAAAAAGCACAAATACGAATGATGCTTAATTTCCCAATTCCTAGATAAAGCATCTGAAGAAGTGCATGGCTGTGAGGTATTGCAGTTGGTCACACACCCCCGGCCCTGCCCTTCTCCAGGAACTGACCACATGACTTCAACTGGCTGAGCCCATGGCACCATCGGTTCCTGGGGAATAACAGCTACTTCCCCTACAAAACAGTTAGCAGAGGCCTGGGCTACAGCGCACTCGGGGCACCTGGCAGGGGAACCAGCCTCTCAGGACACATTCATCCCCTCTACAGATGGCCACATATGGCCACGCAGCAGCCCCCCACCCCCAACTTTGGCAGCTGTCTGAAGGAGCGTCTATAACAAAAGGAAGCTTTTGCTAAAATAGAACATTGTGAACAACTGGATGGACAGAATGTGCCAGTGCCTTCTCTTCATATTTATGAGAAACTGATTCAAAGAGATTCTAGAAATAGAAAGTTTAAAAAAAAAAAAAGAGACACCAACATCTGAAGAATCAGACCAAAGACTCATTACCATAACGTCTGCTGGGCACACTCTTAAACACTGCAATGAGCTTGGCGTCATAGCCGATCACCACCTGGAACCGATCTCCCTTCTTTATGCACTTGCCCTTCTGCACTTGCCCTCTTCCTTCCGGCCCGGGGGGAGGCACACTCCCTGCACCCAGCTGAATGCCGGAAACGGCCTGCCCTGACGGGGACGGGGATGGCCTCGCTGTCTTGGTCTGTGAATCAGGGTCCTTGGGGGGCTGTCCAGAGGAAGAAGCTAATGTCTCTTGGGATGATGTTTTGCCTTTGCCCAAAAGTTCATGAGTTGTGTCATGAGAGTGTGTTGGTTGGATCTCCTGAGAAGCCCGTGGAGGAGCTTGACTCGACTTGAACCCCGAAAGCAATTGGCGGGTGAACTCCGAAGGGCTTTGTGTCCAGGGGTGGGAGACGGAGGCCGTGGCGGCGGATGCCATTTGACGTGGTGGGCTGTGGCCTGGGCAGGCCGTGGGCATCGCTTCTTGCTGCTGCCCTAGTCCCTTTGCCGGCTTGGGTGTAACGAGATGAAAATCTTGGGAATCGTGAGGTCTTGGGTGGTCACCACCATGTGAACTACTGAGGTTCTGTTGCTTGAGAGTGGCACCATGGTCCCCGGGTGTTGAAAGATCCCTGGGGAGACTTGGGGACGCAGCCTGGGTGGTCTGGGAAGGTTTGGCAGCAAGATGGGAGGTCGAGCCTACACTCCGGTGCTGTTCTGCTAGTAATTTCTCAGCTCTACGGGCCAGAGCCCTTTGTCGGTTTTCTTCAATCTTCTTCCTCTGCTCCTCTGTGAGAGGCATTTTAACAGGGAAACGTTTACACAGAAAATTCAGTCTTTAAGCAGAAACTTGGCAAAAGCTGAGGAACGAGAGGGGGGAAAAATCAACATAAACATGAATGATATTTACTTGCCATGTTCCTACCTTGATTTTCAACAAGTTTTGCCTTGGGAAATTCAGGAAGAACGCAAACAGAAGATTTATTAAAGTTTCTTTTGTACTGTACAAAAACAAACACGGGGAGAGTAGGTATCATATGCTAATTTTAAAAAGGGGGGAGAGAAAAAAATAATAAAAGCAGGATCAGAGAAAACCCAAAGCCAAAAATGTCTTTCAGAAGGAAGGAGAGATAGTACAGCAGGCAGGGCACCTGCCTTGCATGCGGCCAATCTGGGTTTATCCCCAGCAACACATATGTCAACACATATGGTCCCCTGAGCCCACCGGGAGTGACACCTGAGTGCAGAGCCAGGAGTAAGCCCTGAGTATTGCTGGGAGTGGTCAAAAAAGCAACAATAAAATGTCTTTCCAGGCGCGAGAGATAGTAGCACGGTAAGGTGTTTGCCTTACCTGCAGACAGTTGACCCAGATTCAATCTGCCGCACTACATATAATCCTCCAAGCAGTGCTAAGAGGGATGCCCAAGAGCAGAGATGGAAGTAAGCCCTGAGCACCACAGTGTGTGGACCAAAAACCTTACCCCATCCACCAACGGGGTTATCAGACCCCAAAGACGTTCTTCAGTGCAGCTGAAATCCATCAGATAATGAAAACGATGACATTCATTCCAAACTTAGAAAGGGTAAGGGATGAAGCCGACAGAGACCAAAAAAAAACGTTTCCTCCGTACCATGGCTGGACGCATGTCAAAACTTCCTCCTTTCAACCTGCAAGAACAAAAGGAGCATAAGACTCACACAGATGGCAAATTTGATTCACCCCTCAAGTTCGATGCTCTAGTCGCTCCCAGGGAACCCATCTGTAGGAGTCCTGGTGTGTCTAGCAGGGCCAAAAAGCCTGCCTCCCAGGGACACTTCAGAGGAACAGAGGGGCTCTTGGAAAAATAAGCAAGAAAAGGAAAGGAATGCAGATGCAGGACACAAATTCAGGAGCTATGACATAAAGAGCAAAAATGATTCTATAAAGAAGTCCAAGTGTTGTTCAAAGTCGTGCTTTTTGTATACAGCAGGGTTCTGATATTTCTGAAATACATCCTTTGTGGCTGGAACCATAGCACGGCAGGTAGAGCACTTGCCTTGCACGGGCCGACCCGGGTTTGATTCCTCTGTCCCTCTCAAAGAGCCTGGCAAGCTACCAAGAGTATCTCTCCCGCATGGCACAGCCTGGCAAGCTCCCCCTGATGTATTAGATATGCCAAAAATAGTAACAACAAGTCTCACAATTTGTCGTGAGACGTTACTGGTGCCCACTCGAGCAAATCGAGGAACAACAGGAGGACAGTGCTACAGTGCTACATCCTTAGCAAGATAAAAGGATTGACTACAAAACAGAATCATCATATATTTTGTATCCTGCTTTTTCTCCTCCAATAAAATGACTTCAGGGTACTTTTTAAAATTATTACTTTTTTTTTAACACTATTCTGGAACCAGGGAGCCGGACCCCAAACTTCTCTGGTTTGCTTCTATGGAGCTTCCATCCAAGTGAAACCTACCAAAGAGGGGGTGTGGGGGTGTCTTCCGCCTCTGGGAAGCGGAAGGTTTCCTTCTTGCGGGGGACATTGCAGTTCTGGCCTCCACACATCTACCCCCCAAACCTTCCACCTCTTCCGACCAGCGGCCGTTAGGAAGGGGCGAGGGTAAGGCACAGCGACCAGGTCGCAGCTGAAACCTTTAGGACCCCTGCAGAGCGCACGGTGCACCCCAGACTCTCCAGCTGCCAGGCCTGGGCCCTACCTGCTACCACTAAAAGGCGAGGCTGGGGAGAATGGGGGGGGGGGGGGTGTGCACTGATCGCCCCCAAACTCCAAAGCTGCCTCACCCTATGGGCATCGCCCCCCTTATTCGGATTCACCATCGCTGCACGCGGCAAGAGTGTGCCAAGCCCCAGTCCCGCCCCAGCGCGTCCACTTGGGTTCACCCATTCCCAGCTCGGCGCCCGGTGCCCTCCTCCACTCCTTGGCATTTGGTCTCGTCCACTTCCAACGCTTTCCTCCCGCTTTCTACCTTCTTCCTCGCTCAGAACACCGAGCCAGGCGCGTCTCCGGAGCTGCCCCGAGCTCCACGACCCCCCCGGATGGGCAGTTAGAAGCGGGGACGCCAATGCAGCCAAATCGCCCGCTTTTTAAGGCGGAGCCTGGGCCTATTTAAACGGAGGGTGGAGGGCGCAATCATCGAGGAACTACATTTCCCAGCAGGCATCGCGGTCGCGGCTCGGTTTCCCATAGAAGAGCAGTGATGAGTTGAACGAGCTGCTTTGTGGCAGGGTCTTCTGGGATTTGTAGTTTTGCGCCAGGAGCCAGGTGCGAATCGGGAGATGCGACGCTGTTTGGTGGGAACGAGGTTGGAGTGGTGCACTATGGGAAGTGTAGTTCTCCATCCCTCCAAGCGTTTTCACCCAGATCCTTGGAGCTGAAACTTGTGACACTGAAGTTTATAAAACTGGAGTCTCTCTGTCAGTTGTCTCCAAAGGGCATACCCCAGAGCCAGACTTATTCAGTAACTTTATTAAAATAATTTTTTTAATTAACTTTTTTTCATCTAAGTCCCACCCGTTATCCCTTCAGTTCCTGTGTTGATGACCATTTAAAGTAGATTTTTCTCCCTTATTTTTCTCTAGAACCCATTGGAGCACATTATTCTTAGTTCCATTCTACAGACAGGAATAAAAACAGGCCTCTTAGGTTTTCTGTGACTCTGTTCCTGCAAGCCCAGCTCCTGAATGAGAGAATTAGCAACCGGACCCTCTGGAGTCAACCTAAAGCGTTTCTGAGCACCTGCACTTACTCTTCCGCAAAGCTACCCACAATTACATATTGGTGGAAAATGCACTCCCCCGGCAACCGTAGGTCCCTGAGTGTAGTTACTCTATTTGCAAACATGGCTCACTTAAAAATTAAAGTTTGACATGATCAGGGAAGAAAGTGGCTCTGTGGTAGCGCTTGCCTTGCATGTAGGAAGCCAGGGTTTGATCCCCAGCACCACCAACAAAAAGGGGCCAAAAAAAAAGCACAGGAATTTTAAGTTGTCTGCTTTGCACGTAGCTGACCCTGATTTAATTCTCAGCACAACACCATCAGGAATGTCCCCTGTACATTGTAGGAGATAACAACACCTGACTCTTGCCTCACTTCCCCCAAAAAAGGAAAGAAAAACTCACCTCTCTCTTCTGGCCAAAGTTGGATAGAATGTAATCTTTAACATTCTAATATATACATGCACATATATATGGTGGGTGCTCAGAGATTACTCCTAGTGATCCTCAGGGCCCCATATGCATTACCAGGCATTGCACTATGCAAGTGCCTGAATCCCTATATTATCTCTCCAACAATAACATTCTAAACTCTTTTTTTTGGTCTTTTTGTGTCACATCTGAATGATGTTCAGGGGTTACTCCTGGCTCTGCACTCAGGAATTACTCTCCTGGAGGTGTTTGAGGGGACCATATGGGATGCTGGGGATGGAACCTGGATTGGCCACATGCAAGGCAAGTGCCCCCCCCGCCCACACACACACACACAACTGTACCATTGCTCTGGCCCCACATCCTAAACTTTTAAGAAAGGGCAATTAAGGGGCTGGAGAGGTAGTACAGTGAGTAAGCACCTGTGTTGCATAGGACCAACCCATGTTCAATCTCCGACATTCCATATGATCCCCTCAGTCTCACCAGGAGTGATTTCTGAGTGCAGAGCCAGGAGTCAGACATGAGTACATCCAGGTATGGTCCCAAAACCAAAACCCCCAAATAAATAATAGACAATCGATAAAGGCAGGGAGACAGTATATGGTTAAAGAGATTACTTTGCATGTGGCAAACCACAGTTTAATTCCCCTGGCAGCACCAGGAGTGACCCATAAGAACAAAGCCAGAAGTAATTCCTGAGTACTACCAAGTTTGGCCCAGGGCTTCTCCCCTAAAAAAAAAATTCATCTTCATAAATTAAACTCACTCAGTGGTCATATCTATTTTGTGTTGTGCCTGAGTTTCAGATACCCAATTGCAGAGAGACCAACACACACTGTCCTCCCGTTGTTCATCGATTTGGTCGAGTGGGCCCAGTAACGTCTCCATTGTGAGGCTGCTTGTTACTGTGTTCGGCATATTGAATACTCTCGGTAGCTCGCCAGGCTCTCCGAGAGGAGAGACCAAGTCTACACACAATAACATAAAAGCAAAAGAACTTTAAAAGACCCTAACTCGAGCTAGGGTCCAAGTCTCATCCAATGCAGTGGAGTCTTGACAAGGACCCTGACTCCAAATCACATAGGGTTTAGTTATGAAACGGTTTATATACTGGTCTGTTTTTAGCACTGGCCTATTACAACAGTGGTCTGCAAATAACAGTTTGGGGTTTTTCCAGAAAGAGTGTGGTCACCCCTCATGACAGGATAAATCCAACGGTCCAGTTCTTACCTAGGTACGTCACTCAACTGGGAGTCTACCAGAAACTGCAAGTCCTGCTCTGAGGAAACAAACTAAGGCCTAGTTGAGACTTAATGTTAGCTGCCGCCTGTCATGGCATCAGTTTCACCCTCACATTTGTCCACAGTGGTATTTACTCCCCAGGTCTTACTGTATGCATGCTTTAAAAAAAAATCTGTACAGTCGTGCACCACATAACATTTTGATCTAGCACTGGCTGTACCTACAGTATCCAGTCCAAAGGTGAGATGAACTCTGCCCTCTGCATTCTGTGTGATCACTTTCTGTGATGTTAGTGCAATGAGAGAATCATTTAACAACACTTTTCAGAACTTATCTCCAGTGTTAGCTGGTGCCTGTCTGTACCGCCAAAGTTCTGAGCCAGTGGATAGTAAAAACTTGTTAGAGATGTCAGTGTTCTGGATGAAAGCACAGGAGTCAAGGAATGAAGGGAGAGGAAAGGATAATTAGAGCTCAGTATAAACTAGGAGCTTTCTAGCAGCACAAGCAAGAAGTGAAAGAGTTGGCTATGTTGGCCTTCAGCTAAACATGGTACAGCTATCGCTCCCGCACACAGGTCATTCAGGCAGTATTAGACTGGTTCACAGTGTCTGAATTCTAGGACTTTAGGTATGTACAGCAAAAGGACATTGGGATTTTTTTGTTTGTTTGTTTGTTTTTTGCTTTTTTGGGGTCACACCTGATGATGCGCAGGAGTTACTCCTGGCTCTGCACTCAGGAATCACCCCTGGCGGTGCTCAGGGGACTATATGGGATGCTGGGAATCGAACCCGGGTTGGCCGCATGCAAGACAAATGCCCTACCCGCTTTTCTATTGCTCCAGCCCCACATTGGGATGTTTTAATTTTATAAAAGTTGAAAATGTTAAGTACATGCAACTACAGACATGACTATATAATTATGTAAAAAACACATTTTAAAGAAATGGGGCTGGAGCAATAGCACAGCGGGTAGGGCGTTTGCCTTGCATGCAGCCAACCCGAGTTTGATTCCCAGCATCCCATATGGTCCCCCTAGCACCACCAGGAGTAATTCCTGAGTGCAAAAGCCAGGAGTAAGCCCTGTGCATCCCCGGGTGTGACCCAAAAAGAAAAAAAAAAGACACATAAAATAATTCAAGCGTGTTTGCATTTTATTTTTTGATGCTTAACTGGTTTTGTTTCAGTAAACTGATGTCATAAATGTCATTATGTGCCAAAATAAAAAGTTGGTTTTTGTTCAAAAGTCCCAATACTGTTTAGTCTGTGAAGCCTAAAAATCTTGCAGACACAATTGTGAAGCCTTCCGGAGATGGTTGGACTCCAGCCCCTGTTCCTCCAAAAGGAAACTGTACTTGAAGCCTAGAAGACGGCTAAAGATGCATTCTTAGCAAATGCAACCCAAAGTTGCATGACATATACTTATACTGAAAACAACAACAACAACAACAACAACAACAACAACAACATTTTTTAGGTATTGAAATTCAGATTTGCCTGGGTGTCCTGTGTTTTATCTGAGAGCCATAAGAATAACCCAGACACAGCCTTGATCCAGAGACTCCCAAATGAATCCCAAAATGGATTAGCTCCCTAGAGATGTCTCTGGACCCCAACCATTTACAATTTTAAAATTTCAGAAGCGACCTCTCATGATATTCATGATAATAAGCAATAAAAAATAAATTATCTAGCGTCTGCCCCTGACAGGCAGGCTTGAATGGTGGTGGGAAAATTCGAGCAAACCATAATGCCCTAAAAGAGAGAGAGAGAGAGAGAGAGAGAGAGAGAGAGAGAGAGAGAGAGAGAGAGAGAGTATGGGGGAAATTGTCTGCTACAGAGGCAAAGGAGGGCTGAGATGGGAGGGGGGAATAGTGGGGACATTGTTGGTGAAAAATGTGCACTGGTGGATGGATGGCTGTTCGATCATTGTACAACTGAAGCACAAACATGAAAGCTTTGTAACTGTATATCACAGTGATTAAATTTTTTAAACAAACCCAGACTTGGTTGAGCCTTCTCTGTATTGATAGATGATATGTTGAAGACTTAATCTTTAAATCAGGAAGGAAGGCAAGTCGGGCACTTGCCTTGCACATGGCAAACCTGGGTTCAGTGGCTGGCACTTTATATGGTCCCCTGAATCTACCAGAAATAATTCCTGAGCACATCACCAGGAGCAAGTCCTGAGCATGCTAATGTGTGGGCAAAAAACCAAAAACAGTAAACTAAATAAAGTCAAGAGGGAGTTGGTTACTCTCGAATTGCATGGGTGAAGGAATAGAAGCCAGTGAACTGCTCCCCAGATGGTGTCTTTGGGGAAGAGTGTTATGAAAATGCTCCCTTCCTTCTGGAGGTGACCGCGCTGCTCCAGGACTCCTTGCAGACAGAACAGTGTGCCCTAG